CAGGTATTGAACCTCACTCTGTACTAGCATCCAATAGGGTCCTGTTACTTTGTGATACATAATACCCAAAGCAGTTATAAATATGTCTATTTCATCACTCTTTGCATCAGCCAGCACACTTTTCAACTTCAGATTGTTTTTTGTGTGATACGTTGTGAAGAAGGTGATGATGTCATGCTGATGAAAGTGAAGTGCTGCAGCACCCTGGAAGAAATTATTGAAGCGATTTGATCGAAAGCTTGTTATCTTTGACTGAGCATCGTTAAGACCACAATAAGCTTCCCACGAATCTCTACATCCACTTTTGTCATCCCCACGTGGTCCAAGAGAGCTGCAAGCCAGACGAATATAACGGGAGGCACAAGTTTCACTCGCCCCACTGAAACACTTGAAGCTTTTGTCAAGATCACGGCCAAATTTTTTATTCTTGGTTAGTTCCTTTAAAGCATTGTCCACTTCTGTGCTCAGTCCAAGAAGAAAGTGTGCATTGCAATGCAGAAACTGGAGAGATTCATCTGTATTTAGGATTTCCTGTCGCTTTTTGTCAAATTTCTGGTCAAAAGATTTCATCACTGAAGCTCTGTCATTCATTAGACCGATCATGTTTTTTAGCATCAGCTGGTTGTTTGCCTCAGCTTCTTCAGGCTCATAGATATCAGCAAGGTCTTGAAAAACTTTACATGCAACAGCCAACAGTGTATCTGCATCTTCAGCTGCCACTAGGGTGAATCCCAGACTCATTGATTTGCCTGTCTCCAGAGTGATTTGGTGGCCCAAATACTTCCTGTGATCTTTTGTGGTGCCATCACTGTGAAGGTCAAATGAGTGGTTCATCATTGATTCTGCAGCATGCATTTTGGAGAGGACATGGCCCTGATCAGCAAAGCGAAGAGATGTGCATTCAGATGGTAGTTGGCATGGAGGAATTTCTTTGTGGAAGATGTTACTTGCCACAATTCTAATCACATTCCCACACCTGACAGCAGGCACTTCTGCTTCACCCACCAGTTCTATGACTGTCTTTATGAGATCTGTTGTATAATGTCCACCATTTTTAGTTTTGATTTCTTCAACTTTCTCACAATACACATTATCAAGAGCTTCTTGATAGTCAAGTTCAACCATTTTTATTTTTTGTTGCAAAGTCCTCTTATCATTTCTGAAGCTTTCCACTGAAAGTTTACAGTTAGAGACTTGGGTTTGTAAAACTTTGATTTGATGTTTGTAATCTTCAATTTTTTTCTGACAATTACCACTCTTATGTTGCTCTATTGCTGTCTTGTCAGCTTTGAGTTCGTCTTCTTTACGTGCTAGTCTCTTGTACCAGTTAGACTGGCGATAAAACCTGAGTTCTTGATC